CTTTTTGAAGACTTTTACGAAAAAGCAATACCCTTTTCTTCATAGGCATTGATGGATGAGCTCAACACGAGCTTCCTTATGTTCATACCGCAGTAGCTATTGAAAGGAAAAAATGATGAAGATGAAGTATTACATGAACATCTACTGAACAAGAGATAATGAATCACCTGGATCTTCCTCCATAGGTTCATGAACAGCAGAGATCAAAAAAATGAGAAAATATTCATTCAGAAAATCCACTGGATGGTCTCCCCTGCTGCTGTCAAATTGACTATAAACGCTGCCTCTAATATCAGCTGAATACACAAACACTCTTACGAAGAGCTATGGCCGATTGATTTCTCATAGCTATTTTCTATAGCCGTGTGAGTGCAACGACCTGCATAATAAAACTACATATATATTACGAAATAGCCGCGGACGTTTCACAGGGGCGCTCCCGCAATGGTTCTACTAGTGACATATTCCTGTGCACTGCCTAGCCCTTCTTCGGGAGTTTTGGCCGGCTAACTGTTAAGAAATTTTTTCTCTGAAATTTTTCTCGGACAAGTCTTTCGAATCGAAAATCGCATAGTTGGCTCTTATCAATCCTTTGGCAAGAAACCTCTTGTCTGCAAGAACCCGCCGATTCAGCCGACGCTACAGAATACCCTTCTCTGTTATTCCCCGTGGAAGGTCATTTTCAAAAGTCACTTGGTAAAGAGCTCAAAGTCGACTCGTCCTTTTCTGATGCGCCACGCTCCCAACTCTCCATTCAAGACTACGGATTGATTTGCCGGTGTCTCCCTCTCGCATGCGGCACGGAGCAGTAGACTTATTCAATCCCCTGATAAGAGCATGGCCCACCAGTTGTCTTTCACGCGGACAAGACTTTTTCTACTTGATTTTCTTGGCATTTTTTCAGGGTTCAGCCCGTGTACACTATAGGGTCGGGAAAACAGTGTTTTACACTAGCGGCTATATTTCAAAGGGTAAACGACCTTGATTAAAGTATAAAAAAGAGGCAGCGATGCACGCGCAACGGCAGTCACCATGGGATCGAGTCGTTCAATCAAGTGGTTTATGGCTCACATTCCGGCAATCCTGTTTCAAATATTTCATCCCACGGAAAGCATACGTACAATTACTGCTAGCCAATAAGATATAATCTGTAGATCCGTCGGCAAATTATTTCAGCACATCTGTTCGAAAGGTACCGCTACATTGTTAATAGCCATCTGTGTCGTTTAAGTTTTACCAGCCGACTCGCCACCAATTCTCGTCAGCCATTCGCTCGTTAGTTATGCTCTGGCGGATGGTAAACGGAATGCATACTCAGAAAATTGCACATCTGTAGACTTTCATTTACTTGTTACAAGGGTGAATAGAAAATGGATCATCAGGGACAAAATGGATTTCCTACACATCCTTTCGTTTGCTCGTTTCATCTAATCCTTATCAGTTTGTTGCTGGTCGTTTTTTTAACCTGAACTTGAACTTTTTTGATCGTACTAAATAAAATATTGTCAAACCTTTTCATTT